CTATAATCCGCACGCGCGTCCATGTTTTAATTGCGTTTGGCAATCACGTCGTGCGTACGTATATATAAATAAATTCCCTTCCCCTTCACGTACCCCCCTCCCCCAACCATTCCGCTATTTTCGCCGACTTTCCGGCCGGTGCTAACCGAAAACGCGCTCGACCGACCACCCCCTTCGATAGAGCGGAGCGCAGGATCACCGATAGAAAATGTATGCACGTTTATTTCGTCCGACCTCTGGGCGCCGATAGAATGCAAAATAATGGCAACCTGCCGGATATTTGCGGGCGCAACTGTGACAAATATATCAGATAAAGCCGTCCTCCTCCTCCTCCTCCTCCTTCTCCTCCTCCTCCTCCCTCTACCTTCACCCATCCTCGTTCCGTCCCATCCCGTCCCGGCGCCGTATCTCTCTATATTGATTTACCACGAACTGATACTCCGCCGGTATCATATTTTCGATCCCCGCGAGCGCATACCCCCGATGATATCAATTCGAGGATTCGGCATGCCGCCGCTCCGTGCCGGCCACCAACGAGAGCTTCACGCGACTTTTATCGCGAATAAGAGTCTTTTTCGAGCAAGTTCAAAACCACGGACGCACTCTCACGTCGCGTAACGACTCGTGGCTCGAGATTCGAGGCGGCTTAAGGTCGAGGATATTTTTGAGTTACGAGTAATGGTTATATGAATACATGATACATATGATCCAAGAAACTCGACGTATAATCCTCTAGTTAACTACTTTGCAAAAGTAGATAATATCAGGAATTGGAATTATTTTTAACATTTAATCAGAGATTCTTGTATGTATGAATTTTTGTAAAAATAATTTTCAACAAACTTTTTTGCGAAAAGAAGTGTTAAACATCAAATACGACCGAATGAAATTTAAAGCTGCTTGCAAAATTACAAAATGCAAACTTTTTGAAATAGAAAGAAACACCCTTAGGAATAGTAGCGAATTATTTAATTATTATCCATGCGTGCATTTTTAGAGCAAAGTATTAACATAACGAATATAGATGTATTATTTTAAACGATCGATATTTATATATATATATATATGTATATATATATATATATATATATATATATATATATATATAATATACTA